GGTGCCCGCTGGCCGCGCCCGCGGGGAGCGCTTGGTGCCGAGCGGCAGCGGCTCGCGCGCCTGCTCCCCGGCGGAAAAGGCCCGTGCTGCTCGGGGTCCGGGGCGGGGAGGCCTTGGCGCACCTGCGGGGTCTCCAGGAGGCCGGGCGGTTCCGCGGCGCCACCCCCGCCGCGGCCCTGCAGCGCCCGTCCGCCAGCCAGCTCGGCACTCCTGTGTTGCTGTCGGTGCAGGTGCGTTCTGGGCTCTTGCATTTTGATGCAGGTAGGCCTAATATTTTCTGGGGAGCAGAGGTGACGGCATGTGACTGGGAGGACTCCCCCACCCCCCAGTTGGTGAGTCTGGGCAAAGCAGGTGCTCTCTGGCATCCTGGGAATGAGTTTCTGGACAGCGGAAAGCTCAAGTGAAGCCTCTTTTTGCTGCCCAGACTGAGGAGGGAAGCCTGGCCGAATTCAAATGTGTTCGCTTGACCAGTTAGTTGTCTTGCGTAGTAAAGAGCTGTGCTTGTGCCGTACGGAGAGCACTTGTTTTGTGTGAGCGCATCAGGGTTTTCAGTGGAGGTCATGGGCACACTGCAGGGCTTCCCCCAAATTCCTGGGGAGGGAGGAACGCTGGCAGGCACCTCTCTTGTGCAACTGGTCCAGAGCTGCCGTGCCCCACCCGCCCCGGTCAGGGCAGGGCTATCGGCTCCGTGTGTCAGGGTGTGGAATGGTTGCCAGACCGTGTTCTGGAGTATTTGAATTACATTCCTCAGGGCCTTAACATGTGGGGCTAAATAGCAGGAAATCCAGCTAGCCTGCCTTTCAGGAGGTGGCTGCGGCTGCGGCCAAGTATCAGAAGTGGCCAGCTGGTTCTCTTAGTGCCTCTTAGTGCTTCCAGTCTTCTGGTTTGCCTCTTGTTCATCTCTATGCATGCAAGAAAGAACGAAAGAAAGAGGGATGCCGTGCCTGCCCCGCTGCTTTCAGCATACTTCCATCCCCGTAGGACTGCGTTCTGAATTCTGCACTTGCAGCTCACTGTGTGTGCATGCCGTGGATCATAGCAGGTGCCTTGCCCAGGCAGGTAGGCACGAATGCTCGCTCCCTCGGTCAGTGTCAGTTATCCCATCTCTTGCCTCTGGTGCAATTTAAAGCAATTCTGGTTCTGTGGCCTCCTCAGCTGTTCGCCTTGCAGGTTCAGGCCTTGTCTGGCCTGTCTGCCAGGGCATGCTGGCTGAGCGTCTTGTGGAGGAGTTTCTTGCGAAGGAGGCCTAGTGCTACTGCCAGAGAGGAGCTTCTCGCCGAGTTCCATCTGGGATATTTTGAAGGACAAAAGTGCCATATTGGGTTGCTTTCCCACGCAGGAATGTTAGGAGAGTCCAGGGACGGCTTAGTGCACACAAGCATGTTTGCTCCCGCTCTTTGTTCTCTTCCACCCCTGCTCTTCACTTTCAAGGCGTATAATAGGGCCACTGGTTTCCACAAAAGAACACTGATTGCTCCTTGGTTAAGTACCTCTCTCTCCCTCCCAAATCACAAAAGTGAACCAGAATGCACTGCGGGGTGTTTTCTGTTTTTTGCTGGATCCAGAGCCCATTTCTGCCCAAAGTATAACCTGCATCTAGTGCCCCATAGGTCCCCAAGCCTTACAGGGGCCTCTCTTGTGGATCCCAGAACCAAATTAGTCAACAACCTTGGCAGGAGAAGAGGCACTCACCAAGTTGACGGCACATCCCCAAAACCCCGACCTCACCCTGAAAATGGTGTCGCACTCCGTTAGTGGGGTGGCAGTCCTACATCAGCCAAGGACTTTCCCCTCTTGGGACAAGCAGGTCCTGTGCCTGCCAGGAGTCTGTCCTTGGTCACCGCAGCGTCACTGCCCAAGGTACACAAGACGAGGCAGACCCCTGTTCCTGTGACACTTGTTCCTATTCCCAAGTGCAAGACTTTGCACTTACCTGTATCTAACGCCATCCTGTTGTTCCCCGCCCACTTCCACAGTCTGTCCTGATCCTTTTGGATCTTGAGTGCCTTCTCCTCTGTCGCTGCCCCCATTTTGGTATTGGTCTTTGAATTTGGTCAGCGGACTGGTTAGCCCATTGGTAAAAAGGTTGCACAGAATCAGTCCCAGAACTGATTCCTGGGGGACTCCGCTCATCACTGGCTGCCGTCCTGATGGCTCTCCACCAATAGTCACCCACTGCTTATGGTCTGTCAGCCATGCCCTAATCCAGGGGTCGTGAAACTTTTAAACTGGGGGGCCAGTTGAAAGGTGCCGGAAGGTGGTGCTGTCAGTGCGTGCGGGCCAGCGCGCATGCTGAGGCGGGGGGCGTGGCGAGGCGGGGTGGGCACGCGCCACAAGGCGGGCGCATGAGGCAGTGGCTTGCTCACCTGGAGATAATTTTCTCCGAGGGAGCAAACCGCTGCCTCCCTGTGCGTGGGGCGAGGTGGGCGGCAGCAGGCGCGCGGGCGGGTGTGCCCGCGTGGAGGGTCCAGATGGGCACGGCGGGTCCCCAGGCCGTAGTTTGAGGACCCATGCCCTAATCCATCAGCTAGTGCATCGATCTGTCCCGAAGCTCATCAATTTAGATCCCTTCACTGGGAGAAATTACAGTTTATTCCCACCCTCTGCTTTCTGCTGTTTAACCTTACTGATCTATAAGAAGGACCCCCTCTTAATCCATGACTGCTCACTTTGCTCAGGAGTCTTTGGTGAGAATTAAGGGTAGGGTTTGGCAAAAGCCCTTTGGTAGTCCAAGCCAACAATCTACTGGATTGCCCCGTCTACATTCTTATTGACACTCAAAGAACTGCAGCAGGTTGGTGAAAGCAGCTTTCTGCTTACAGAAGCTATGTTGATTCTTTTTCAGCAGGGTTTGTCCCTCTGTGTGTTTACTGATTCTGTCCTCCTTAATAATGCTTTCAAGCAGTTTACTCAGAACAGATACTAAGATAACTGGCCTGTAATTCCCAGATTTTCCCTGGATCCCTTTTTAAACATTGGTGCTGCATTGGCCGTTCCTCAGTCCTCTGGTAAAGAGGCTGATCTTGGAGATGAAATAAATATTTTTGTAAAAAGACAAGGAACTCCTTCAGTGGGAACTCTGGGATGGGTGTCATTTGGACTGAGTGATTTACTGAATTTCAGTTTGCCAGTACGTTTCAGAATTTCATCTTTTGCCCCTGCTGTCTGCTTTAATTCTGCTGGTTCTCTTCCTGAATACTTAAATTCAGGAACTGATATTTGTTCTGCATCCTTTGATGTGAAGACCGATGAAAAGAATGTTTTCAGCTTCTCTGTAATCTCCATATTTCCATTTAGTGCCTTTTTAATTCAATTATCATCCATTGGTCCAACTTCCTCTTTAACTGGCTTCTTTCTTGTGATATATTTAAATAATTCTTCACTGTTGATTTTGACGTTGTTAGCTACATGCTTCTCAAAATGCTTCTCTGCTTCCCTGATTATCCACTTGCATCTTCTTGTGCAAGCTTGTGCTCCCTTTTCTTTTGCTGATTTGAGCAAGATTTTCATTTCTTAAAGAAAGCCTTCTTCTCCCTGATAGCTTCCTTGACTCTGTGTGTTGACCATGCTGGCGACCTTTTCGTCTTTTCCTCCTTTTTGGGGTATGCACACTGTCTGCACTTCTGTTACTGCGGTTTTCACAACATCACAGAATAGAGTTGGGAGGGGCTCTCTGTTCAGTGCAGGACACCAAGTTAAACCACCCCTCTCGGGGCTGTCCGGCCGTGCCTTGAGTGCCTCCAGCGGGAGAGCCAGCAACCTCCTGAGGTCATCGGTTCCGTTGCCATACTCCTCTGACAGTCAGGAAATTTTTCCTGATGTCTAGCCGGAATCTGGCTTCCTGTAACTTAAGTCTATTATTATTCCATGTCCTGCATGCTGGGATGATTGACAAGTGATCTTGGCACGTGTCCCTGTTGGATTTCATTGTGTTACTTTCAGCCCTGTCAAGAGCACTTGGGTTTTTGCTTCTGTCTTCCAGAGAATTAACTGTCCCACCCAGTTTTGCGCCTTCTGCAAATCTGATCAGCATTTGACCGCTCCTGTGCCGTGTGCTGCGCGGCCCCACCTGAGGCTAAACCTGGGATTTTGTCTCCCGGGCGTGTTCCCTGCCCGCCTGCTGTGGGGCACAGTCAGGTAGGGAGCGCATCAAGGCACTGAGCCTCCTCTGTGGAACATGCGTTCATCCAGTCGCACCCTGCAGAGTTGATGTCGGCCACTGGTGTGCTGGTCCTCCACCAGTTGCGCTTGCTGCCTGTCCAGGCCCAATTCAAGGTGCTCACGCTGACATCCAAAGCCCTCAGCGCTTGGGACCAGGATATCTGAAGGCGTGCCTGTCTCCCTGGAACAGGGGGCCGTTAGATGCAGAGCAGCCAGAAGACTCTGCCCCAGGGGAGGCCATGGCGCCCTCAGCCCACTTACGTGACTGGAGAGAGAGATGGGCGAGGGACCCGCTGTGAGGGAAATGCATGACACGCTGCCTAACCCTGAAAAAGGAGACAAAGGGTCAATCGAGTAAGGAAAAAGATACTAAAGTTTGCAACAGCGAAAGGAGAAGAGTGATCACAGCGTCATAGAACAGGACACTAAGTTACACAGCCCCATATAGATGACTGTCCAAATCTTTTTATTATTTATTTATTAAAAGCGTTTGTATGCCGTCCTATTATACAAGATCTCAGGACGGCTTACAATATTTAAAAGAACAATTAAAACAACAATTTCAATAAATAATAGAACAGAACAATAAATCAGAAAACAAGCAACAAGACATTTTTTGAATGTCTCC